GGATTTACAATGAGCTTAACTGTACAAAAACATATAAATAGAAAAAAAACCGGGAAGAAAATATATTAGATTTGTAAAAGGGGTTATTTTCAGGTTATATTACTACAATTTTTTTAAAACCAGTTTTAGCACTTTCTTGAACATTACAAATAATGAACACATTTTTATCATCAGAAAAATCAAAGCCAAAAAATGTATAGATGTTTTAAAGAACTGCATATTAAGTGCCTATATGACTGGATTTACCTCTGCAATTAGTTCTTTGGTTCTAAAAAATTTTTCCCTGGCATTTTCATAGACAGCTGAATTTGTGGAGCCTTGCTGGAAGTATGCTGCACCCAAATCATAGCACACCTGAAATAATAATGAACACCAATTTGCTTAATAATTTCTCAGGTACTTAAGAGCTGACAGAACAAAATTCTCTTTATCTCAGGAAAACAGAAAAAACACATATTCCAAGGAGCAGTGCTACTGTCAATGTTCTTAGTCACAGGCAACATAAACCAACTCTGGTCAATTTAAGCAGAAAGCTGATTTACTGAGATTTCAGGTTGCCTACAGAATTGTTGGAAAGGCTAAAGAATCTGACTAGAAAAAAGGGCAAGAGAGGCATGCAGTCAAGAAGAGAGCTAACACTGGTCTAATGAAGACACCACTGCAGACAATCTCAACACAAGATTCCACAGCTCCTGTCACCTGTAGCCACCAGGACCAGACCCTGAAAGCAGCAGCTCCATTCCCGCAAGTGCTGCCCCCGGAAACCAGATTTCACTGTCACTGTTGCCGCTACATAACACCACAATGGATACTCCATCACCCTAAATGCTATGACTTACTAGGACTAGCTCCTGATTCAGTCAAAAGCAGTGTACCCATTTGTTTTGTAAAACTTATGAGATAAGCCTGTCCTTGAGCCAGATAAGGCTAGAGAAAGCTAGTAATGGAGTTTTCAGCTTATTTTATAAGAAGCAGACTCTGCCTCCTACAAGTCTGAAAAGATCGAAAATTCTTCTAATACAGGAGAGGGAAAAAAAAAGCTGGGGAGCCCCTCAAAAGTGAACGTGGTACACATCTAACATAACACACTGGTTAAATTGAGAAATTTAAACTAGAAAACTTTTCCAGTCGTATGTTTCTATGACAGAAGTTGTATGTAACATGTGGACAATAGGCAAAAAAATAATTTATATGTTTTTCCAAAAGCTTTCTTAGATGGACACCTGGAATTACCGAATGCAAAACTCAAAAAAGACTCAGATTATTTAGTTCAACTTGGCCATTTTATGGATAAGAACACAAAGGCCCAGAAAGTGACGTGAAAAGCATACAAGTAGTGGCAGAGCCCATGTTTGAACTCAGATTCCTAAACGCCTCAAATTTATTCTGCGCATGGCTGATAGATCAAGTCTTCTTAATCTGACTGACTTAAAAATTCTTTGCCAGGTGAGGTGGCTCATGCCTGTAATCCCAGCACTTTGGGAGGCCAAGGCGGGTAGATCACGAGGTCAAGAGATGGAGACCATACTGGCCAACACGGTGAAGCCCTGTCTCTACTAAAAATACAAAAATTAACTGGGCATGGTGGTGCACATCTGTAGTCCCAGTTACTCAGGGGGCTGAGGCAGGAGAATCGCTTGAACTCAGAATGCGAAGGTTGCAAGGAGCCAAGATTACGACACTGTACTCCACCCTAGTGACAGAGTGAGACTCTACCTCAAAAAAAAAAAAAAAAAAAAAAGTCTTCAATTATTCCCCAAAACAGAAGAAAGTTCAAACTCCTTCCCCTGCTATGTAAGGATCTCAGAATCTGGCCTAATCTTTCTTTCTAAACCTTTCTACTGTACTCTATTTTAATCATACCAGTTTTCTCAATTCCCCATTCACATGAGATCCTAGAAATAAGCTTCATTCCACATCCCTTACTCATTTTATACCACCAAACCAACCTCTGGCAACAGATACTTACTCCTCTTCCAAACTCCTATGCCATAATCATGCCTGGCGTTCATCATGAAACCACTCTTTACTGATAGTTTTATAAATATGGTTCTGTGCAATTCAACAAATCCACGTTAATTCTTTTTAGCCTCTACAATATTGCTTTACACTATTTAGACCACACTACATGTTTGGCTGAATTTTTTTTTTTTTTTTTACTGCAACCTCCTCCTCCTGGGTTCAAGGAATTCTCCTGCCTCAGCATCCCGAGTAGCTGGGATTACAGCTAATTTTTGTATTTTTTTGTAGAGACAGGATTTCACCACATTAGCCAGGCTGGTCTCAAAACTCCTAACCTCAGGTGATCCGCCTGCCTCGGCCTCCCTTGGCTGATTTTCATTTTAGAGAATTCATCCTATCTGGAGTAAAAGGATGCTAAAAGAGCAAACACACACACACACACACACACACACACACACACACACACACACACACACACACACACACACACACACACACTATAGTTATGTATAATTCTGCTTTCCAGGCAAAGATGGACTGCAAAATACCTAAAAGATATTTTCAAGTATTACTCTAGTAACTGACTAGCCACTACAATGAGTTTAGAGGTTAAGGGGCAGTCAATAGATTTATTATAAAAACAAAAAAAACCTGATAATGAAGCTGCCCTGAAGGGCAGTAAAACCTGGTTTTATTGGGGAAAAAAATAACAATTTTTCTTTTAAGTCTCAGGTAAATTTTAATAATGTAAAGAACCTACTTTAAATATTATCATGCCAGGAAATGAGTGTTACCATTAATTTGCCTTTTAAAAAACAGGAATTGTCACTCAGCTATGTAAGTAAAAGAACAGTTGATAGTTTACCTAGCACATTATAGATGTTTTACAGAAGTTCTGTTTTCAGGTTGTATCATCCGCCATATTGTGAAAATCAGCAGTGTTATCAACAACTTTTAAACAAGTTTTGAAAGATCATGAGAAACTATGTACCAGTAACACTACTATATGCGAGTTTCATCGGTGATTTTTAAAGGTTACCACCAAGTATCCTGTAATCCCAGTACTTCAGGGGGGCTGAGGTGGGAGGATCCCTTGAGCCCAGGAGTTCGAGACCAGCCTGGGCAACATAGGGAGACTCTGTCTCCATAAATAAAAATTTAAAGAAAAAAAAGGTTACCAAGTCTCAACACTTCATTACTCCCACTCCTGCTGTAAACTCCAGCTCATCAGGCCTTAAATAAATGATTACCTTCAGCTCTGGAAACAGCTCATCTATACAGTCACTTTCCCAAAACTGTCATAACTATTCTTATACCTTTCCAGAAAAGGAATTAGTGATAAAGAAGCCATGCCAACTCATACGACTAAAGAAAGAGAATACAATTCAGAAGGCATGATTCTAGTAGCCCTCTCTAGGAAATTGCTGAATACTTTAATATCTCTATTTTACTCAAGGTTCTATTCTAAAAAAAAAAAAAAAAAAAAAAAAAAAAAAAAAAAAAAAAAAAAAAAAAAAAAAAAAAAAGATGTCAAAGAGTTTATAATCCAATAAGGAAAAAAGAAGACATAAATACATAAAGTAATATCCAACAATAGTCATCAACTGAAAGCTGTGAAATGAATTAGGGGCCCAGAGTTAGAGAAAGTGGGCAAACTTAAGATCCCTGCAAAGCTAGACAGTGTCAAGGTCTAGATTTTTCAAAGTTCAGCATGTTATTAGTTTTTATTTTCTTTTGTTCTGATTACATTTCTCATAATATGAATGAATTGCAAATCAATTATATATAACTGTATTCTCAGTACTTAAACTCTGTCTCCTAAATACAATCAGGAAACTATTTCAGAGACAATAGATCACATAAAATTTCCCTTCCATTTCTTTCAGAAAAATGTCAAATCTTATAAATGTATAAATACAATGCAGCCTTAATAGCATCTTAAGAGACAAAAGCAGAAATAAATTCTAATTAAAAATAGGAGGATAACCTCATATAAGATTTTCCAAAAAATTGCCATACATTAATTAAATATCAAACGAATACCTGGCACTGCATTTCTTCGGTTCTGACTTTCAATCCAGCAGTAGAACTCTCAGTTTCTCCATTTACCATGCCTGGTTCCATGGCCAATAAATCTAGAGTTCTCATCGTATGGACATAAAGATCCTTGTTTAATTTTAGGGCTGCCTCTAGTACCAAAATAGAATCAGCAGCTTGTTCTTTCAGCTACAAAAATCAGTAAACAAATTAAAATACAAAAATAGCAATAGATATTAGACAGAGTATTAGGTACAGTGCATTTAGTAGCTCAGTGCACTAAGCTATTAAAACAAATTTAACACAGCAAGAGTACAATTAAATTTGTTGAAATAAAGTTACCTTAAATCAAAGAAAATAAGTTCCTACTGTGAGATTAGAAAATATGAAAAACAAGAAAGACTGGTATATTTTTTCTGTAGAAAAGTTAATGCTTTAGGCTAGGCGCAGTGGCTCACACCTGTAATCCCCACGCCTTGGGAGACCAAGCGAGGTAGGAGGATCATTTGAGGCCAGGGGTTCAAGATCTGCCTAGCCAACATGGAGAAATTCCATTTCAAATAAAACTACAAAAATTAGCTGGGCGTAGTAGTGCACATTTGTAATCCCAGCTACTTGGGTGGCTGAGGCATGAGAATTGCTTGAATCCAAGAGGCAGAGGTTGCAGTGAGCTAAGATTGTGCCACTGCACTCCAGCCTGGGTGACAGAATAATACTCTGTCTAAAAAAGAAAGAACAGCTAATGCTTTGAAGATTTAGCTGGACACAGTGGCTCATGTATGTAATCCCAGCACTTTGGGGGTCTAAGGTGGATGAATCGCTTGAGTCCAGAAGTTTGAGACCTGACTGAACAACATGGCAAAATCCCATCTCTACAAAAAATACAAAAATTAGCCAAATGTGGTGGCACATGCCTGTAGTCCCAGATACTGAGAACACTGAGGTGGGAGGATCGCTTGAGGCCAGGAGGTGCAGGCTGCAATGAGCCAAGATCAGGCCACTGCACTCCAACCTAGGCAAGAGTCAGGCCCTGTCTAAAAAAGATTTGCACTATTCCACTTGATTTATTCAAGAAATGTTTGCGTGCTTCAACGTGCCAGCCGCTTTATTAGGAACTAGATAACAAAACTTCCACATTCAAAATAATAGAGCATATTTGCTAAACAAGCAAATACAGGTCGTTTCTTACCTTTTTCTCTCCTTGCCCAGCCCCTATACCTCACATGGTAATCTGGAACACTGTAGGTGTTAATTACAGAGATCATTTCTAAATTATAAAAACTCTCAGGTTTCTAATTTTCCATTATGTAGATCAATTTAAAAATAACTGCTAGGCCCGGTGGAGTGGCTCATGCCTATAATTCCAACACTTTGGGAGGCCAAGGCGAGCAGATCACTTGTCAGGTGTTCGAGACCAGCCTGGCCAACAGGGTAAAACCCCGTCTCTATTAAAAATACAAAAAATTAGCTGGGCATGGTGGCACAGGTCTATAGTCCCAGCTACTCAGGAGGCTGAGGCAGGAGAATTGCTTGAACCCAGGAGGCAGAGGTTGCAGTGAGCCAAGACCATCACTGTCACTCCAGCCTGGGCGACAGGGCAAGATGCTGTCTCAAAAAAAATTAAAAAATTAAAAACTGCTATAACTTATTATAAAAGTAATTTTTAAAATATAAAGTATATATGTTTGTCATAGAGTTTTTGGAAAATACAAAAGAATATAAAGAAAGACATCACCTGTAAAATCAGTTTCTCATATCAACTAATGTATCATGAAATAGTCAAAAATAGAAACAAATAGCAGTAAAATCACACATTGAAAGTCTATGTATGATTTAGAAAAATACCTATGTCCTAATAGTAAAAACCTTAATGTCACTGCGCTTAGACCTTCTCAACTCTTGTGTCCCCCCAGGTTAGAAGATGCATCTCGAGGTCCCCAACCCCTAGGCCACGTACTGGTACCGGGAACGAGGCTGCAGAGCAGGAAGTGAGGAGAAGGTAAGCAAGAGAAGCTTCATCTATATTCACAGCCGCTCCCCATCGCTCACATTATGGCCTGAGCAACATCTCCTATCTGATCAATGGGGTCATTAGATTCTCATCGGAGTACAACCCTATCGTGAACTACACGTGTGAGGGATCCATGCTGCACGCTACTTATGAGAATACCTGATGAGATGTCACTGTTTCCCACCACCCCCAGATGGAACCACCTAGCTGCAGGAAAACAAGCTCAGGGTTTCCACTGATTCTAAGTGAGCTGGATAATTATTTCCTTATATATTACAATGTAATAATAATGCAAAATAAAGTGCACAATAAATGTAATGTGTTTGAATCATCCTGAAACCACCCCTGCCCTGCCCCTCCATTCAGTTTCCTGGAAACTGTCTTCCCCAAAACCAGTTCCTGGTGCCGAAAAGGTTGGGGACTGCTGCTCTAAAATTGTTCCTGAAATGTTACTGTGTAACAGATGCCAGTACTTACCACTTTCAAAATGTTTTCTGTTAGCTCTTTTTCCTGTTGCATTTGATTCATACTAAAGAAAAACAATTGAAAACAAAAGTATTAAAAGTTACTCTCAAGACTAAAAAAAAATCTAAAGAGCATCATTCTTGAAAGTCAGGTTCAGTTTAAATAAGACTGTTTTTAATGTTATTTATTTTCATGTTTGGAAAAAATCCTCAACTATTATGATGCTCATTAACTTACCAGTATTTTCTCATTTACTTTGTTTGGGTTTTCTGCTTTTCAGACAGGGTCTCTTTGTCACCCAGGCTGGAGTGCAGTGGCACGATCACTGCAACTTCAACCTCCTGGGCTCAAGTAATCCTCCCACCTCAACCTCCCAAAGTGTTAGGATAACAGGTGTGCGCCACATCACCCAGCCTCATTTACTCAATTTAAGAGCAAAACTTAACAAAAGCTCATTCGTATCAAGTTAGAAACTATGCTTTCTAGCTCCAAATTTGGGTAAGCTGCCACATAGAAATTAAGATCAGGTTTAAAACTCCATCCTTCTCCACTCCCACAGCTTCACTTGACTAGCCTTAAAAATAAAAAATTTAGGCCGGGCGCAGTGGCTCAAGCCTGCAATCCCAGCACTTTGGGAGGCCGAGGCGGGTGGATCACGAGGTCAAGAGATCGAGACCATCCTGGTCAACATGGTGAAACCCCGTCTCTACTAAAAATACAAAAAATTAGCTGGGCATGGTGGCGTGTGCCTGTAATCCCAGCTACTCAGGAGGTTGAGGCAGGAGAATTGCCTGAACCCGGGAGGTGGAGGTTGCGGTGAGCCGAGATTGCGCCATTGCACTCCAGCCTGGGTAACAAGAGTGAAACTCTGTCTCAAAAAAAATAATAATAAAATAAAAAATAAAAAATTTAGGCCGAGCATGGTGGCTCACACCTATAAGCCCAGCACTTTGGGAGGCCGAGAAGGGAAGATCACAAGGTCAAGAGTTCAAGACCAGCCTGGCCAACATGGTGAAACCTCATCTCTACTAAAAAATACAAAAAAATTAGCCAGGCATGGTGGCACGTGCCTGTAGTCCCAGCTACTCAGGAGTCTGAGGCAGGAGAATCGCTTGAACCCAGGAGGTGGAGGTTGCAGTGAGCTGAGATCATGCCACTGCACTCCAGCTTGGGCAAAAGAGTGAGACTTTGTCTCAAAAATAAAGATTAAATTAAATTTTAAATTTTAAAAAAGAAAACCTCCAGATACAATCAACTATTATAATTGAACTCTAATACTGACATATATTAATTTCCCCACACAGAAATGTATCTTCTTCAAGACAATTAAATGAAAAAAATATCAGGCTGGGTGCCATGGCTCACATCTATAATCCCAGCACCTTGGGAGGCCAAAGGAGGTGCATCACCTGAGATCAGGAGTTCAACACCAGCCTGGCCTACATGGCAAAATCCCATCTCTACTAAAAAATACAAAAATGAGCTGGGCATGGTGGCAAACACCTGCATTCCCAGCTACTCAGGAGCCTGAGATGGAAGAACCACTTGAACCCAGGAGGCAGAGGCTGCAGTGAGCTGAGATCGTACCAATGCACTCCAGCCTGGGCAACAGAGCGAGTCTCCATCTCAAAAAACAAAACGAAACAAAAACTTAATGCTTTCAGATAAATGGCACAATTCCCAAAGTGCTTCCCTTCTCAGAGCCCTGTATCTAGCACACTACCTGACTCTCTAGTCCCTCTAACTCCTTTAAATAAACCCTCACATAGGCCTTCTGCCCTCCTTATTCTACTTCTTATAACAGGTTATTAAAAACTTGCAAACATTTTAAAAACTCTAATGAAAAAAGTGCCAGGAAGGGTCATAGCTGCCAACTTACACACTTAACTGAGGGGGTCCAGGTTTTGCCTGTTTGACTGGAAAACTACTTTGAACAATCGTCCTAATTGCCCTGAAGACAAGACAGGAAAAAGAAAATTTAATACATTATAAATGTCATTTCAATTATTTCTTCAAGTACTCCTCAGGTTTGTATAAATTATCTGAAGCATTAAATGGCACGTGGTAAACCCTTCATAAGTTATCCACATTTTTATTAGACTGCTTTTCATCTATGCAGTCACAAATTTTCTCTACCATCAGACTCACAGTTCCCAAGATCTGAGAAATCTCTGCAGCAGAACGGGTCCATTAAAAGCATACCCCTAAAAGCCACAGTGCAATAAAACAGAGGTTGCCCAACACCTTCTGGGTTTATGAAAACATTTACCATCTATTGTAGAGAAGTATAGCCATGGCAGTGGTTGGAGGTAAAGTGGCCAGATCCATGTCTACATGCTTGGTCCCAGGAGGAACTTTACTGATACAGAGTAGTTCATTTAGTAGCATATTCAACACTGGAACAGACAAACTTAAAAGAAGCAAAAGGTATACGTTTGCATGTTAACTGCAAAAGAAACACAAAATACAACAATTCCATATCCTCACTGAAAATAGCTACATTGTCAAGGAACCACATCTTCGGGTTTACCAAATATAGAAAGATGTTAAGAACTTTTTATTATGAAAAAACTTAAAACATAAAAGTAGACAGAATATTGCCAGGTGTGGTGGCTCACACCTACAATCCCAGCAATTTGGGAGGCNAAAAAAAAAAAAAAGAAATTTCTGTTTTTAAAAAGTCAAAGGGGCCGGACGCGGTGGCTCATGCCTGTAATCCCAGCACTTTGGGAGGCCATGGCAGGCAGATCACCTAAAGTCAGAAGTTCAAGACCAGCCTGGCTGATAGGGTGAAATCTCATCTGTACTGAAAATACAAAAGTTAGCCGGGTGTGGTGAAACACACCTGTAATTTCAGCTACTCGGGAGGCTGAGACAGGAGAATCGTTTGAATCTGGGAGGTGGAGATTTCATTGAGCAAAGATAGAGCCACTGTACTCCAGCCTGAGCAACAGAGTGAGACTCTGTCTCAAAGAAAAAAAAAAAAAAAAAATAGAATATAATGAACCCCTATGTAACCATCATTTAGCAATTATCATCTGATGGCCAATCTTATTTCATCTCTACTCTTACCCACTTCCCAAATCATTTTGTCCATAAATATTTCAGAATATATCTCACATTCACTCTTAACACGATCACGATATTAATTCCACATCTAAAAAATTTAGACTTGCTTATTGTCAAACAGCCTATCAGTGTTAAATTTTCCAGCTGCCTCACACATGATTCTTTGTACTCACTGCTACCTGTTGATATCTACCTGTTGATATCATGTATGGGTTTCCCCCCTCAGATTAAAAATACATTTTAAAAATTCTAATATTTAATGCTGAAGAATGTGGTTAAAAAGGGGGGTTTCTGAATACTACTGGTTAGAGTATAAACTCTTTTGGAATGCAATCGGCAATATGTATCTGTCTTAAAAATGTTTATACCACATGATCCAGCAATTTACGGATCCTAAGGATACAACTCAAAATAAAGATAATTTTATGAGCAAAGATATTTAAGGCCCTGTGATTTATAATAGTGAAAAAGTAGAAATAAACTAATTTACTGTCAATTAAGGAACAGTTAAATTATCCATACAACAGAATCCTCTCCAAAAAATTAAAAAGGGGAAATGTTCATAGGGTATGATCACAACTTTAAGCCTATGGAGAGGAAAGAACAAAAATTACATGAAAATGTTTAAAAGAAAACAAACCTCTCCCCTCCCCAATTATTTCTTATTTTCTGAATATTTCCCAACTTCCTATAAGGTATTTAATTGTGATGAGAAGGGGATGAAAATAAATCATTTTCTAACCACAGGCTTGAAAGTATTTTTAAGCAAATAAGCACTGATTCTAGATCAGCGGTTTTAATAGGACATACTGATTTATGAATAGTAAAATTAACTCAATTATTCAATAGCAAATCATCCATAATACTACACAACCTCTATCATTAATTTTTATTCATTGTCTTCAGATAAGTCAATTGAGAAATTTACAACAGTTTAGGTGTGGATTTTCTCGTTACCACATCAAAAGTAATGTTATTCCTGCATATTTTATCAAGAATTTATAGTTTTTATTATTTTTTTCCTGAGTCTCATTCTATCACCCAGGCTGGACAACCTCAGCCTCCCAGGTTCAAGCAATTCTCATGCCTCAGCCTCTCAAGTTGCTGGGATTTCAGGCACCCACCACCACACCTGGCTAGAAATGGGGTTTCACCTTGATGGCCAGGATAGTCTGGAACTCCTGACCTCAAGTAATCCACTTGCCTTGGCCTCCCAAAGTGCTTGGGATTACAGGCGTGGTGCCACAGCGCCCAGCCTGTAATTTTTAAGAAATAAACTAAGATATTTAAATTGTACTTCAAATGAAATTTCACTGAAATCTCATGTACCTTTTCTCTAATATGTCTAAGTCCCACTTCAAATGTGCAGCAACTTTAAGAGCAAGTAGTTTTAAAATACGATTTCTCTTGTTATCAGGCGGAGGTTGAACTTGGTTTTGTTCATTTACTGAAGGTTTGGAAGCCTGTTCCAAAAACTGAACTATAAGTTGAACTGGCGCAGGATCTAGGATTTAAAAGAATATAAATTCTTAAATTTAAGTTTTAATTATGAAGATACAAAAGGATTTTTTTTTTTGCCCCAAAAGGTATCCAAACAGCTGTGCTGTTACAATGACTAAGAAATACCATATGTAAAAAGTGTGCTTGGGAGTTAAAGGGGAAGATCAGGAAGAGTGGTAAGGAGGAAGGGTAACAGGTCAGTGTGGAAGCAAGCAAAAAAAGCACCTCACAAGGTAGCACATGATAGTTATAGATTTCTGGTTCTGCAAATAACCACTGCCAATTAGAAGAATGAGATACAAGCATTAGAAGTATTATTTTGACACTTAATTAGGGTGACCTCCATCAAGTTACCTCTGCACCTGTTTCCTCCAATGCAAAATAGAGGATATTACCTACTTCACATGATCATTATGAAGATTGAATTAAAGGAGGTAACAGATGTGAACAATTAAGCACAGTGCATGGCACCCTCCAAGCACTCAACAAGTATCTTTCAAAAGGAATGAATCAGGAGGGCATTATACAAGTGGCAAAACTGCCTAAGTACGCAAACTACTTACACAGTGGTCTCTATCAGTTAACGCCAGTCTGAGACTGAATAAGCCATATATAGGTTTGAATTTAGCAAAATGCTATCCGAGGAACTTACCTTTTCGTGCCAATACCTTTTTTGAGAATGCCTGGAGTGTTCCTCCTTCCCTAATCACAACCATTTAACTGGGCTATTAACTATTATTATCAGCAGAAAAAACTATCTTGCAGAAGAGCAGCAGTTCCTGCTTTAAAATATTTTCTTTTTATTTACAACCCAGCTTTGGAATAATTGAGAGTCAATAAAATTCCTTCATTGAAAAACAAAATGTTTAAGAACCTAATAACTAGCGTCAGAATCAGCATCCAACAGCGGATTCTCCCCATTTCCCTGAATTTATTCCGCTTGGGGTTCAGTGAAGGAGGGGTCCGGTCAGCCTCCCCCGACCCAAGCAACCACAGGACCCGCCTTGCAGGCTCAAATCCCCAACAGTAAAAAGGTAAATCGTAAAAAGGACCGAAGGGTTTGGGCTGACGGCGCCAAGCCCGCCCCTCCAGGGTTGGGAGGGCCTTTGTTTCCAGCTTTCTTATGACCTTCCACCCCGGCATGTTTTAGGCAAGCGAGGAGCCCTGCCGGAGCTGGGCTCCCTTGCGCGCCTCCCATGCCGCAGCTTCGGTGGCCGAGAAAGCGGGGAAGGGAGGGAGGCCGGGCGGACAGCGCCAGTGGCGGCGTTCCGCTCCCCAGGTGCAGACGCCGCGCTCACCCGGGCAGGGCTTGCGGAGATGTTTCTCCAACAGTGACTCCTCCAGCAGGAACTCAAACCAGCAGGTCTGCGGCGGGGTGCAGGGCCGGCTGGAGGTGGCTGCCTCCCGGTCCGCCGCCTCCGCGCTCATCCTGCCCCCGCCGCCGCTACCACCAGGGCTGCTTCCCGGCTCCAACCTGACACTTGAATGCGGGCCGGGGCCTGCGGTCAGCGGAACCCGGCGGGAGAGAGGCCACGCTCCGAACGCCCCGGAAACTCACACAACCCAAAATGGCGGCGCGGGCTAGCCGGAGCAGCGATCCTGGATCTGCCTCCTCGCGCCACCGCCGCTCCTTCGGACCAATCGTTGTTAGGGTTGGAGAAGAAAGGGGCGTGACTAACCTTCGAACCACGCCTCCTCCCGGTTGCCATAGGAGACAGCAACGCGTGAAGCCGGGTCGCGGGTGGTGGTGGTTTCCTGTTTCCTGATAGTTCTCCAGAGAGAAAATGAGACAACCTCATCTAGGGTTGCAACGGGCCTCAATATTTTCGTAAAGGCGAATGCTACGGGTTCTAGTTGTGACCCAGGCAAAGTTTATCTCCGGTGCTTTCAATTTCCCCGTTCCCGTTTCTGAGATTTCCTAGCACCTGGGTCCTCTCCGCAGATGCTCCCGCTGTCCTGCAGGGGGCACGAGCGTCCTGCCCGCTTCCTGGACGATGGCTGCATGCAGTGAGATCCAGCCTTGCTCCTGCTTCTCAGGGCTAGCTCCTGATACACAGAGCCTAGTTAATCCTTTTGATGTCCCCGCTAGAGGCGTTATTAGCCCCATCTTACATTTACCTCCGTTCTGTGATGTTCTTGTATTTTTCATTAACAAACTATTAAAACTGAAAAAAGGTACATTCACAGATCGTGACCTGATTAAGAGTGCAAGCTCTAGAGTTCACCTTCTAATACTTTGGATAGGCTATTTAACCTCTCTGAATCTTAGTTTCCACATTTGTAAAGCAGGGATAATAATGCCTAATTCTAGGGTTGATCAAAGAATTGAAGCAGAGCTAAAGGATAACGCAGGTAAATGAGATAATACAGGTAAGCTGCTGCTGCTGCTTCTAGACAAAGTTTCAAAAAAAAAAAAAAAAAAAAGTCGCCCAGGCTGAAGTGCAATGACCGATTTCCGCTCACCATAACCTCCGCCTCTCAGGTTCAAGAGATTCTCCTGCCTCAGTCTCCCAAGTAGTTGGGATTACAGGCATGCACCACCACGCCTGGCTAATTTTTGTGTTTTCAGTAGAGAGGAGGCTTCGCCATGTTGGTCAGGCTGTTCTCAAACTCCCGACCTCAGGTGATCCACCCGCTTCGACCTCCCAAAATGCTGGGATTACAGGCATGAGCCGCTGGCTAGGTAAGCTTCCTAAACAGGTCCTGAAACCTCGAAACACTGATAAATGTTAATGTCATATAGTGCTTTTAGATGTGCAAATCATTTTCATACACAGTAGTCCCCCTTTATCTACAGTTTTGCGTTTCAGAGTTTCAGCTACCCACAGTCAAACGAGATTGGAAAATATTAAATGGGAAATTCTAGAAATAAACAACTTATGAGTTTTAAATTGTGCGCTGTTGTCAATAGCATGATGGAATCTCCCACCCTCCATCTGTTGAGGACCATGAGTCATTCCTGTATCCAGTGTATCAACGCTGTCTACACTACCTGCTGTTAGTCACTTAGTATCCTCTCAGTTATCAGCTTTATAATCAAGGTATCACAGTACTTGTGTTCAAGTAACTCTTATTTTACTTCATAATGGCCCCAAAGCACAAGAGCAGTGATGCTGGCATAGGGTTATAATTGTTCTATTTTATTATTAGTTATTATTGTTAATCTCTTACTGTGCCTAATTTATAAATTAAATTTTATCATAGGTAAGTATATATGAGGAAAAATATACAGAGCTAGGTACCATCCTTGGTTTCAGGCATCCATTAGGAGTACTGGAATGTCTCCCCCCAGGTAAGAGACTACTGTACATGATTCTGATATTCTCTTACAGACAATCCTTTATACACCTTTAACCAATGAGAAAACTAAGGATTCCAGAATGTCATTTCCCTGAGGTGAGCCAGGGCTTCTGGTGATCATTCCATGTACTCAGGCCCCTGCCAACATTGGATAGAAAGGATACGATCTATGCCTTATAATCTTGCCCAAAATGAAGAAGGAAAGTTTGAACATCGTCTTAGGAAAAATAATGAAAATAGTTCCTTCACAAGTAAAAGTAAACAGAATGCTTCAATGGCAACAATTGCTTTGTTCTCCTCCTGTGCAATCCCTTTCCTGGCTCTGAGCTACCTCTTCCCATCTCTTTCATTCTGGTCTAATGAACTCAGAAGAGTAGAGGGCCCTGTCTCTGGAGTTAGAAACATGGGAGCCGTCCATTCTCCCACTGCTTTTTATGCCTAATTGGTGAATAAAACATGCCACATCTACCACAAAAATATCAAATCTGCCTCTTGTTATTTTTTAAATTTAGACCTTCATGATTGTATTAGTCTAACTCATGATTGCTAAACTGTGTTCTTCAGAGCCAGAAGAGTTTCTTGGTGGGGGGGAGGAGGGAAGCTCTGTGTGTGTGTGTGTGTGTGTGTGTGTGTGTGTGTGTGCGTGCGTGTGTGTGTGCGCGCGCGTGTGCGCGCGCGCACATATGCAGGGTCTTGTGCATGCAGGGCTTTGGGTTGACCACCCTCTATTCAGCCATAGCTTATCTATTTTACATATTGGGTATTAGAAGAACCCATTAATCAACAAATGTTTAAAATGGCTACTTTGGACCAGGCAGCAAGCGAGATGCTAAGGAGACAATGGTAAACAAGACAGCAGACATAGCCTCTGTGTCTGCTCACTGTGTTCACACAGAGCTCACAATGTAATCGGGAAAGCCAGTCATTAAATGTGAATCCTGGCCAGGTGCAGTGGCTCATGCCTATAATCTCAGCACTTTGGAAAGTTGAGATGGGAGGATCGCAGGATCCCAGGAGTTCAAGACCAGCCTGGGCAACATAGTGAGACTAGCATCTGTATATTTTTTAAAAAGTGAATCCTGAAATTGCTAAATCTTTTTTTCTTTCTTTTTTTCAATTTTTGAAATTGCTAAATCCTAACAAAGAGGAAGCATAGGATGTTGTATTTACCAAGGAGTAACCTAGTTTGGGAGTGAAGGAAAATGTAAGTGGTGAGTTTCAGACTCTTGAGTAGAAATCTAAAAAATAAGCAGACGTTACCTCGGGTAAACAGGACAGGAAAAGCCGCTGGGGCAGCACTGTGTGTAGGGAAAGCATTCAAGCAGAATTTGCAGTATTCATATAGAGACCTGAGGAAGGAAAAAGCCTGGCATGTTAGGGAAATCAAAATAATTCTGATACAACCAGGCCATGGAAAGGAAGGAACAGAATGTCATGGGAAAAGAATGAAGAGGTCAGTAGAGGCTAAGTTTTTGTTTTTGTTTGGTTTGATTTGGTTTGGTTTGGTTTTTTTGCAGCCTTGAACTCCTGGGCTCAAACAATCCTCCTTCCTCAGCCCCCCAATTAGTGGAGACTATAGGCAGGTGCCACAACAGTTGGCTAAATGTTTTAATTTTTTGCAGAGATGGGGTCTTGCTATGTTGCCCAGGCTGGTCTCAAACTCCTGGCCTCAAGCAATCATCCCATCTTGGCCTCCCAAAGTGCTGGAATTACAGATGTGAGCTGCCATATATGGCCAAGGCTAAGTTATCTAAGACAAAATAAGCCTTAGATAAGGTTAAGATTTTGGCCTTGTCTTTTTTTTTTTTTTTTTTTTTCAAGTTTATGATGGCATATGGAAAACTGTTTGGAAAAGAGTAAAAGTGAAAAGGTTTTGGCAGGTTCCAGAAACAGATAGGAGACAGGCACACTGGAGTCCAGGGAGCCAGGGAGAACAAAGAGAAGGAGAGGTTGAGGGAGAGGGACTAATTCTGCGGAGTTATACATCATAGTTAGGATCTGGAATTTTGTTCTACGAACAACAGGAAGCCCTGAAAGGCTTGCAGGAGGGAGTGACATGATGAGATGGACCTTTGAAATCCATCACTCTGACTCCTGTATGGAGAATGGATTGCAGTGTGTTAGTGGAGGTGGGGTTCAGGGAGATCTTGTCCTTCATTTTCTTATTTTTCTTGTTTAGTAGGAACGGTCTGACCATGTTCAGATATTGATGGCAGAGATCAGTAAAGGGAAAAAGTCGAAGACACAGAAGTGTCAGGAGATCATCTACGAAGCCAGGGTGCTGGCTATTGATGGAAGAGGTATGTCTTTTACCAGAATAAGAAGAAAGGAAGCACCTGGGCCTGGGAGGGATTTTAGTTTAGCCAGTGGTTGGTGGAAGGTTCCCATCTTCTGGCTTGCATTTTCTCTGAGATAGGCCTTCTTTCTCTATGGACCTATGATCCTCTTTCTTCGTGCCCTTGGTTATGACATTTTGCCTATGCCCATGAATCTTCTTTTCCAGAGAACAGTATCTTCAACTTGTCTCTACAAATTCCCTCCACTGAAGGAAAAAGAAGAGAATAAACAAATGGAAGAAAGGGAGGGAGGGCCAGGTGCAATGGCTCACATCTGTAATCCCAGCACTTTGGGAGGCTGAAGCAGGCAGATCACTTGAGGCCAGGAGTTTGAGACCAGCCTGGCCAACATAGTGAAACCCTGTCTCTACTAAAAATACAAAAAGTTGGCTGGTTGTGGTGGTGTGCACCTGTAATCTCAGCTACTTGGGAGGCTGAGGGAGGAGAATCGCTTGAACCCAGGAGGTGGAGGTTGCAATGAGCTGAGATCACACCACTGCACTCCAGGCTGAGTGACAGAGTGAGACTCTACCAGGAAAAAAAAAAAAGGAAAGAGAGAGAGAGAGAGAAGGAAAGGAAGGAAGGAAGGAAGGAGGGAAGGAAGG